TTWMCMMCKGGGCGAACGCCAAACGTCAAAACTGRTCACGTGATCACTGTTTTTCTGTATTAACGATCCGTTCTTTCGCGATTTGTGTATAAAATAGATCACTTTTTCGTGCATAAACGCATCACTATTCCTTTCGAAGCGTTTTTACGTTTGTTTGAAATTTTGAGACAAAGCCGCATAAAAGATAATTTGACTTTGGGGTTTGCAGTAAACATGAATTTAAAACTCTCTAATAGAACTACACATATGTTAATTTTTCAGGGAGATGTATGTATTTTGCATCTCTTTTCCTTTCTTGGCATTTTTTTTAGAATTTTAACAGGTTTGTGCTTTAATTGGGGAGTTTCCCAATATTTTCCCTTGAGTTTCATTTGGAAAACACTGATTATTTTTTGATGCTGTTCCCTGAATTGTGGAAATTTCTGCAATTTCCCAGAATTTTCGAAATTTTTGGGAAATTCTAATTCTAATATAGTCCCAATTCTATTAATTTTTTCCCAAACTAAATTTTTTCCTGTGCTGGTATCAGCCATACCTTGTAATTTTACTGAAATGATATTTCTATGGATTTTCAGTTAAACATGAAATCTTCACTCGCTACTGAGATTATTACAGAATTTTGATGAAGTTTTACTATGTCATTGATAGGCTGCCATTTGCAAGACTACATTGACTAAAGGATTCCTGTGCTTTTTGCGTCACATGACATTTAGTACGCATGCGCTAGAGAWTTTGTTCGACATGTCAACATGGCGGATAAAACTATTTTCGGYTTGACGAACGACATTCCCGTAAGTCTGACCTTCTAAAACACTTCCTCATTAATTATTGTAACCAAATACTAATAGAAGCTAATTCATTGTGTCTGTAGTCGTATGAGGATGAGAGTTTAGCTGATATGGACCCAAGCTTAGCAGCTTTTGATGTTGGAGATGAAGACATTGATCTTCTTAATGACGATACSTTTGGAAGTGGMGCAGTCGGTATGTAAAGCTAAAGCTGCTTTCTTGTAAATAGTGACTTCGTTGAAGCGTGAAAATGGGTATTAACTAATTTCAAGTACTCTATTTATTGCAAATTGTATTCAAGTATGTACAAAAATACATGTTACAAGYTTACAATACAAATTGTAGTAAGTACGTTGTATAAAGCTGATGTAATCTACTGAACTGACTACACACTATTAAAGTTTATCAAATTGATAATTAGTCTCAT